GGTAGCAAACTACGTCTCCTTCCAAACTCTTATTCGAAGAAGGGATATCTTTTGGTTTTCGCAAAACCCTTCAAGTACCAAATAATGTTGGACCCGACTTGCCGTTACACTTGCACCCTGAGTTTTAAAACTGCCTGCTGTATTCATTTAGTGTAAGGAAAATCACAACATTTTCCGCGTCATTAGGAGGTAGTCACCTAACGTTCATCAACTTTCGTAATGGCTGCGGAACATGTTTGAGACTCTATAATCAGTATTAATAAATCAATAGATAAAACGCTTTATGAAGGGATACTTGATGGTCTTGAGAAAGCTCATACTTGGATGCTTTTTAAGACCGACCTTCAAAATTGAAGAAGCGGCAATGTGTTGCCAAATGCAGCAAGCAAAGAATATTTAAGTGTAAGTTTTCTAAGGAATATATTCGCATTTATAAGGGCATGAAAGGTCAGTGGGAAAAGCGCTTACTAATTAGGCGACCATTTTTACAGAGTGTAAGTTTTTGTCGGCGATGGGAAATAAGTTCTTTCAAAAGACAGCACCTTGACGTGACTAAAACAGCTTTGGATTATACTGCATAGTAATTAATATTACAAGCCTACTGAAGAATTTCGGTTTACAATTCATGAGATATGTGCATACCTTTCCCTCTTCCAGAGAGTGCGGTGTATTAATCTTCTTCATAGCATTTTTGTACTTCTCCTTTTCTTTCTATAAGTAACCTTAGTTGTACATAGATCTTTCTTGAGAGGAAGCTTTGTACGACAAGTTGGCTGTGACTCAACTGGAGGACATTCCAGTTGACTGGTGGAGGAGGGAGTGATGATGATATGTCAAGGCGATTTACTGAAAACCCCTGTAGTCTGCTGCCAAGCCCAGTCTGTTAAGTTTTGCTATTCTTATCTGCCATATCCGTGTCGGCAACAGATTTTGAGGACTGCTCGTTGTTATGCAAACAACTGTGAAGGATCTAGATTAGATTCAACGGACGAAACGTAGCACTTAAATTAAAACTTGATTGGCGATCGACATTCCCACACAGCAGGCAGAGTCTGAGCCCATGGCTCTATAATAGACCCTTTTGGTTCAATAGAGAAAAGAGATAGGTTCGCTGTCATCCCTAACGGTTGATTTCTGATCTCATGACGACGCCACGTAAGTCGGAAATAGTTGCTCCAGTTAGGATTACTTCCCGGTTTTCAATAGATTATATTCTTGATCTACATGATATCAAGCTGCGATACATGTTGTTTCATAGCCCTACCCCTCTTTCTGCTCACGCATTGACCAGTAGGCAAGCTTTACTCCATATGGGGGTGGCTCACAGTCACAAAAGCGTGGAACAATGCGAGAACACGCAAACGGCTGCCCTTGAGCAATGCTGTCAGCAACGGGAGAGCAAGTGCTCTCAGATACAGGATCTTTCTATGACGTCCGGAGGAAAATAAACAACTGGTAATTTTGCGTCAGCGTAACTCGCACGACTCATACTGCTCTTAGCTGAGTTTTTGGACGTAATTAAGCATGCAGGGAGAGGTTTATTTGTCAATACTGGGACGCTAGCGGCAAAGTCGCCAACTAACACAGTAGACCACATTGTCAACTATGGTCTTTATGCAATGCGAAACTACGGACCGTGTCCACCTGTCAGTTAACTAGTCGCCAGTGTCCTACAAATGTGCTGTGCATTTAATCGAGTGAAGTTTGTGGTATAGGCTGAAGGTGTGCCTTTTTGCATTTTGCCAACCAGTCAGACGGTCTTAATGAATCAGAACTCTTCTCACAATCTCTTCACCTGCCCCGTTTTTCGCAACGATTCCATCCTGATAAAAGATGTGCAGCGAAACACAGAGGTCAGGAAGTCCCACCTAGCCGCAATCATGGGTGTTTGTGTAGCAGTGAAGTGGGTTCGCGCTGTTTGCGGTGAATGCTATGGGGCTTGGAGAGCTTATTCTTACTTACTAAACTAGTTTAGGAAAAGGGAGAAAAAGAGGCGTATGCTTTTATTTTAGGAGTAATATTCCAAAATTTTTAGCAAAAAAATTCCTCCATTCACGTGGCCACAATGCAGGTTAATAGATTAGAGAGTAAGTTGGACTGCAAGTACTATGAGAATAGTTTTCGTCTCTACTTCTGAATTTGAGACACTTTGTGTGAAAGAAATAATGCTGGAGATGAAAATACGGGACGTTGGCATGCCAAGGTACGCCAAGAGACATGTCGTAAGCCACGACGTATGGAACGGAGGGACTTCGCAGCAGTTCATTCCGGGG